GAGAGAGAGAGAGAGAGAGAGAGAGAGAGAGAGAGTCAATAGACAACATGTAAAAACTTGTTAAAGAGTATGAAAACATCGATGAAGTGGAAAAATGTTAAATATGTTGTTTCATCGCAAACCTCTATACAAAGTAATTGGTTTGTCTTGAATTGAATCGTTCAAAGTCTTGAGCTGTCCTTCAAGTCTGAGACTATGCGGATGGAAATGCATAGTAACTGATAATCCCTTAACCCCGACATCGCATAACACAAAAGCCACAGATATATCGAAATAAAAAATATAACATTTTTAATATTAATAATATTTTCTAGAATAATATTTATGGCATAAAAGAATTAATATTTTTATGAGAAAAGTATACATAAAATTGCTATAAAAATAACACATACTCTCAATGTGTTCCTATCGGACATCTTTCGGATATCATTTCCACCTTTAAATATTGAGTCCATATTTCATGTGTAATTTAAATGTCATTCAATTTCAATGGTGTTTTTAAAGCAAAAAGTATGTAAAACAGGCATAATTGAGTTATTGGTTAAATCATAAACCACCGGGATATAAATCGGTGTAAATAAAACATTATGGATAATGGCGTACCCCATAGCGCACCCGACGGTATAAATAAACTGAATGCAGATTTTGTGGATGCGATTAAAAGTTTATTTTCCAGATCTCTGTCCGCCAAACAAGAAGGGGATCCGATCTGATCGAGTGGTTCAGCCGTAGGATTAGATGCGAGAGAGAGAGAGAGAGAGAGAGAGAGAGAGAGAGAATAAATGTAGATATAAATTATGTTTTCAATATTTTTTTTTGTGTGTGCGATAATAATTGCTGTTATATTTTGATGGATAGGCAGGAAGTGCTAGTTTATTATTATTATAGCGGTTATGGGTTTGTACTCTCTATGGGGTGTTATATATCCCTAACCATAAGGTCTGAGTGTTGAATGAATTTGTGGCCAAACTCGTAGATAACGCATGGATGAGACACTTCTACTATCATATCCACCGGATATCTGTCAAAATGGCTCAACTCGTCCAGTATTAGCCGTCTCTCGCCTCCGACACTGGCGTACAAGTCCTCAGATTTGGTCCGATTCCACACGAAACCCAACTTTAGGCCCAGTTTTGGCCCATTTGTACGGATTTCGTTCACCAGATATTGACCTTAAATTATGGCATAAAATTTATTTATAACCCAAAATAATAATAATTTTATTTTTATTCTCTTTTATTTTCATTGGATTTAAAGGCAATATATTTTTTCTAACGACAAAACAAAATATAAATAAAACATAAATTTATAGCGAAATTTTTAAGAGTTAACACTTATCTCCGTAAACATCGACTCCAATACTAACCCAATCGCCCGAAACCTACAATTCCTATGGATTTTAATGATTGACTCGATTCAGACATAATTGCTATAAATTATCCGCAGAGAGAAACAAAATAATATCCACTAATAAACACTTTTTTCTAATTATAATCAATAATAAAAAAATATATTAACTTTTATACGAATAAAATTTAATAAAATTAACAATTTTTAATCGTTTAGAAACTATTTTTTGCATTAAATATTAAGTATATTTTTTTGGGGTAAAAGTACCAAAAGCTAATAAACTGAAAAACAAAACGTTAATAAAACACACAGAAAATTGCATTAATAAGTGACAACAAAACTAATGCTTTTTAATATTAATTGAGTGCGGAGTGGAGATGAGTGCACCGGGGCTTAGAAACAGGCCCATGTTCATTTTCTGGTACAGTGTACTGTATATATCAACTACACAGCAACACCAGTATATTTCACCATAATGTTTAACATAATAATCTTATTTATTATAGACTTATCATCGGTTGTTATCAATTATTTTCCACTTCAATCTCGATATATAAATAAAATGTTTCTCGAGTTTAAGGAGAAATATATTCTTTCAATACATTATCGCTAAGAAAAAAATTGTTATGAAATTAATTTTTTTCGGTTGTTATCAATTATTTTCCACTTCAATCTCGATATATAAATAAAATGTTTCTCGAGTTTAAGGAGAAATATATTCTTTCAATACATTATCGCTAAGAAAAAAATTGTTATGAAATTAATTTTTTTCTAAAACCATTCAACTGTTCACTGCCTGTAAGGGTAGACACAAATCAAGAAATGCTGTGTTTGTAGGGATGGGTTGATATTTTGTGCACAAATCCATGTATGTATGCATTAAAAACAATTGTCTGTTATTATTAAACACAAATTTGAATACAATTTGCCGACTAAATCATACATATTAATAATGGATTTGCGAGCAAATTGTTTTAAATTGCATCTAAAAATATATCAATCTATATATAAATGTAGTGAATATAACAATAATAATAATGCAACAAAAATACGGACCAAACGCCTACCCCTAACCTCTATTGGCGTCTAAATTAGCATTTAATTTATTGCACAAAAATGATAAGTTTTACGTTTAAATAAACAAAACTTATGGTAAAATAACGCAACCAAATATTTCAGAAATATATATGTTTTTCTGTATATTATGGAGGAAATTTTTGATAAATAACACCACAAATAACACTATAAATAGAGATGTAATGCAATAATAAATGACATACAAAATGAGATGGATATAAGAGAGATGTGATTTTAATTTTAAATTAGTCCCGAGTTTTTTTAACTCTAAGATAATTAAGTATTAGGCGTCGGATAACACGCTGTTTATGGTATTTGATAAAAAAATACTTTACATTTACTTTTTGTATATTTACTACATCTCTCTCTCTCTCTCTCTCTCTCTCTCTCTCTCTCTCTCATCTAATCCTACGGCTGAACCACTCGATCAGATCGGATCCCCTTCTTGTTTGGCGGACAGAGATCTGGAAAATAAACTTTTAATCGCATCCACAAAATCTGCATTCAGTTTATTTATACCGTCGGGTGCGCTATGGGGTACGCCATTATCCATGATCAGATCGGATCCCCTTCTTGTTTGGCGGACAGAGATCTGGAAAATAAACTTTTAATCGCATCCACAAAATCTGCATTCAGTTTATTTATACCGTCGGGTGCGCTATGGGGTACGCCATTATCCAGAATGTTTTATTTACACCGATTTACATCCCGGTGGTTTACTATTTAACCAATAACTCAATTATGCCTTTTTTACATACTTTTCGCTTAAAACCCCATTGAAATTGAATGACATTTAAATTACACGTGAAATATGGACTCAATATTTAAAGGTGGAAATGATATCCGAAAGATGTCCGATAGGAACACATTGAGAGTATGTGTTATTTTTATAGCAATTTTATGTATACTTTTGTCATAAAAATATTAATCCTTTTATTCCATAAATATTATTCTGAAAAATATTAATATTAAAAATGTTATATTTTTTCTTTCTATATATCTGTGGCTTTTGTGTTATGCGATGTCGGGGTTAAGGGATTATCAGTTACTATGCATTTCCATCCGCATAGTCTCAGACTTGAAGGACAGCTCAAGACTTTGAACGATTCAATTCAAGACAAACCAATTACTTTGTATAGAGGTTTGCGATGAAACAACATATTTAACATTTTTCCACTTCATCGATGTTTTCATACTCTTTAACAAGTTTTTACATGTTGTCTATTGACTCTCTCTCTCTCTCTCTGTTTTCAAAATTACTTTAATGTTGTTTTAAATAATTTAAAAATATTTTCAATTAACTTATAACTATATTATGAAATAACTGTATGTAAATCGCATTCCCAACCATACCGTAGGACCCGTCCGACAGGTATGCGGTTTAGCGCCTAATAATGTCAATACAATGGCTGCGGCGGCTATTGCTGGCTATAGTCTTGGCTTTGATGGTACAGTCGGTTGTCTTATATCTGATCCAAAGTATGCATTATTTTACTATTTTATAAATCAATTAGTTTTTTCTTATGCATAACTCTCTCACATAAAAACAATGCAATTAAAAAATAGTATTCAAAATCATTTATGTTATGTTCAATAAATGCATTGAAACACAAAATGCATACAAATTATATGAAAATTCATATTTGTATTGTATATTTATGTATTGTTATTTACAATACTATGAGTATAAATACAGTATAAGAATTATCTACTATTAAATACATGTTATATTTATTTACATTAATTCTTACAATTCATTGAATTTATATATATTTCTCTTGTCTTTCAAAAAAAATGTAAATTGCATTTTAACGCAAACAAAACAATTGAATGGCAAACGAAAACATACAACAATTTGAACGCAACCAAAAAAAACCAACAAAAAACACAGTTTAAAAGATTACCATAAAATAGAGATCGAAGTCATGGGACCAGCAAATGGTGATAACAACGATCGCTGTTTCAAAGCAAACACCACTCGTTTGAGTCCGTCATCAGGAAGTGCTGC